GTGCAATGCGAGGCACCAGCTCATTCTGTTATATAGGTTGACAAGAGGTGGAGTTGTTTGGCAGCAACTAACAACAGCAATTCTGTTCTTGGAAGTTATTTTATTTCTGGGGAGATAGATTAGGGATAGGTGTGACACAGTTCTGATCAATTACATAGTTGTAATGAATATATCATTTTAAAGGAACTCCGGTGGTATAATCCATAGGGAACTGCACTGTTAACCTAAAGTCTGAATCACCAGCAGCTCCTCAGAGAAAGAAGGATGATCTTCTCCTACGTGACTTACAACCTCAGAAACCCACTGGAGGATCAGCTATGAATAAGTAGTAAGTGAATGTGTGGGCTGGGGATTTTTTTAGCCAGTTAGCTTCTGATCTCTAGCTACCTAACTGTAGACACATGGTCTTGCAAATCAGCACCAAAGGTGGGACTCGGACAAGGGAAGGGTGCTTCCCACACTGAGCAGCAAGACTTAGGGTGAGAAAGACGTGAAGCAGGACTTGAGGTGAGCAAGGTTTGTGGCTGCAAGACCCTGGTGAGAGCAAGACCCTGGGGTGGAGAGACAAATGGTGACAAGGTGTGGCCTGAGGCTACCTGCATTTGTGCTGGCACAGTTGGATTTTGCTGTTTTTGCCTCTGTTGATGGAAGGAAAAGCTGCTTGCTTTTGAATTGAAACCAGAGCCTGCACTAACTGAGGAGTTGTTCTGTGGGGCTGCTGGACTAAACCTGGGCTTATTTTGGGTGCTATTCTTCGCCTTCCCCACTCTCCAACTTCCCTCCTTCATAAACCCCATTGTTGGTACCATAACTGTGAGTCTGGGTGCCAGCAACAAACAAACTTCTGCTGTTTGGGGGCTCTAGAGGCACCATGTGGATGGTCTACAGGCTCCTGGTTTGCTTTCTGTCCTGGGTTAGTGAGGAGCTGCATTATTCTCACTCCCTCTAGGCCTTTCAGAGAGATGTTGATGGCCTTGTGCCTCCATGTCCCATTTTCTCCTCTTTAGACAGTGGGTGACATAATTTTATGATAAGAAAAGGATTAAGACTTTTTAAAAAAAATATCAAATTGCTTCTCACTGACACATCGTTTAATGTCATATCAACTAAAATACCCAAGAGATAGAGGAAGAAACTGAGGCAGAACTTTTTAAAAGAGTAGACAAATTGCCATTGAGTCATTCCTGACTCATGGTGGCCTTGTGCGTGGTACAGAACAGTTTTCCATGGCTGGTTTTCTAGACTTCCGGACTTTCTTCCAAGAATCTTGTAGGTGGATGAGCTTCCAAATGTTGGTTAGCAAGAAGCTCACCATGGTTTTTGGACCCAAAACACATCTCACTGCCACTGAACCAAAACCAACTTATAGCTGACGCTCAGAGGCTGTAAATCACACAGGGTGGTGTGGTGTGGTGGTTGTCCATCTTTCTCTCTCAAAAAAGCTAGTAGATTCGAACTGCCTGCTTTGGGGTTAGCAGTACACCTCCTTACTCACTAGGCCACAAGAGTTCCCTCTTACCACACAGGATATCCTAAGAATAGTTTTGGCAAGAAGTTTTTCTTCCACAAAATTATTAAAACCTAAAGAAAAGCTGAAATGACCAAGTGATGTTCCACCTAGTATCTTCTAATGCAATCTCTTCCACAATTTCAATAAAATTCCCATGCAGTTAGAATACAGGCAATCATAACTCCTAACACTACCTGTCAGAGCCTACTGGAGCAGCTCAAGCAAACTATAAGGCAGATGAAACATCAGGGGGGGAAAAAATCTCTCTGAGCATAATTTGCTTCTTGAAACAGTTAACAACTTCTGACTAAAGACAGGACATGTTGGGGGCTTTGTGTACCACTGAATTGGATCTGACTAGCACAGGAGAAGACTGCCCCTCCTTCTCCAGTGGAACATCTGGTGAATTAGAACCATGCACCTTTGGGACTGCAGCACAGCTTCTTGACATGAGGCCACCAGAGGTCCCTAGGAAAAAGGTTTAACCTCTCCCACCAGTTGTTCTCTCAGTCACAGGCCCCCAGAGTGTAAGGAACAGAAACAGGAAGTTATTTCCCTAGAACTTACCAGCACTGCACTGTGAGGTGGGAGGAACATCACACCACTGATACATACCAGTGCTCTCCCACCACTACCAATCTTACATCATGCAATAAGACTCCAGGTTTATTAAGTAATTACTAAAATAACCAAAGATGTCATTCTATGTGAAAAAGAAAACAAAAAGGAAATAATTAAGATATTTGAATGATAAAGTTTTTTTTTATATCAAGTGCTGTCAACACTTGGAGAAACAAGCACTCCCATGAACTACTGGTGAGAACAAATTGAGCTAATCTTCCTGGAGGGCAGTTTGGCTGTATGACTCCAAATCTTTAAAATGTTCATACTGTTTGATTTGGTTAAGTCAACGTCTAGGAATTTTTCCTAAGGAAATGCTTAGAGATTTTTTAAAAATGTATTTCTAATATTGAAAGACTATAAAAAAAGAAGATAAACTGTTAAAAAAATGGATTGTTGTTGGTGCTGTTAGGTGCTGTTGAGCTGACTACAACTCACAGCCACCCTGTGAACAACAGCTCTGAACCCTGCCCTGTCTTGAGCCAACCTCACTGACTCTGACATACCTGCCATAGTCACTGTGTCAGTCCATCTCATTCAGGATCATCCTCTCCTGCACTGTCCTCCACCCCTCCAAACAGGATGTCCTTCTCCAAGGACTGGTCCCTCCTGACACTATGCCCAAAGTATGTGAGACAGAGTTTCAAAATCCTTGCTTCCAAGGAGCACACTGGTTGCACCCTTTCCAGGACAGGCCTGTCTGTTCTCCTGGTAGCCTATGGGATATACTGTTCTTCAGCACCACAAAACTCTAAGACATCAATTCCTTTTTTGTCATCATTAGTCACTCACTATCCAGCTCTCAGGTATATTAACAAGTAATTGAGAAGACCATAGCCTGGATCAGGTGCACCTTAGTCTCTAGACTGACATCGTTGCTTTTTGGCACTCTAGAGAGGTCCCTGAGAGCATACTTTCCCAGTGCAACTTGTCTTTTGATTTCCTGACTGTTGGTACCAAAAGAATCAATTAGCAAACAATAACAATGAAGTCTCTGTATAAGAGAGTATTGGGCTTCTACACTGGGTTGCTAACCTAAAGGGAGCTCTGATAGCCTAGTGGTAAGGTGCTGTGCTACAATCTCAAAGACATGAGGTTCAAACCCACCAGTTGCTCCTCAGAAGAAGGGTAGGTGATCTTTGTTGGGATTTGTTGCTGTTGTTGTTAGGTGCCGTTGAGTAGAGCATGACTCCTGGCGACCCTGTGATTTGCTGACTCTGAAAATACACTGGAGGTTCAGCTATGGGTCAGTTCCAACTTGACTGCACACAACAGCAATACATTGAACATAAAGTTTAGAGGTTTGATTCCACTCACAGGTACCATGGAAATAAAACCAGGCTAAGTGTTCCCATTGAATAAAGGTAAAGAAAACTAAAAAACTCACACTCATTGACTTTCTGATGGAACCAACTCCCAGCTAACCCTCCACTGGGTTTCTGAGGCTGTCAAACACAAGGACGGAGACTGCCCTGCTTTCTCATAAGATGTTGGGGACCTCAAACTATTAGTGGCCTTCAGGTGAGCAGCGCAACTCCCCACAGTTGACGACCCGAGAGCCCTCAGCCACTAACCCCTCAGTGCAATCCTACACTGTAACATACGGGGTCACTGAGGTCAGAAGTGACCCAACACCAACAGTTTCAAGTTTTAGTTTTTATCTGCTTTTAAACTCCTATTTTTTAAAATGAGAAACTATGCTTACAAATGTTGGCTATATTAAAAAAATGGGGGGTGGGGGGATAAAGGTTACATGTACTAAAAGATATCCCCAAAACCTCACTGCTGTCGAGAGAGAATTGTTTTTAGAGTGTAAACTGCACAGGAGGGGACTGCCCATCTTTCTCCCTCAGAGCAGCTGGTGGATGGGTTTGCAGAACTATGTTCCACAGGGTCTTCAATGGATGACTTTTCCTAAGTACATTAGTGTAGACAGAGTAAATGGATAATATCCTAGCCTGCTAACTGAAAAGTTGGAGGTTCAAGTCCACACAAAGGAGCCTCAGAAGAAAGGTGTGGTGATGAACTTCATAAAACTTGCCATGGCAAACCCTGCAGAGCCCCGCTCCACTCTGATGTGCATGGGGCCCAGCAGCTGTGATCACCCCAATAGCAAATGGTTTTTCTACCCTCTTCTTTTTCCCCTTATATATTTTTTTTTTTACTTTGAAGAATCCTAACAGCTGATCAAATCATGCAAATACTCGAGTGTGTGGGAAGTATAAGGCCAAACAGTGAGGTAGACATTGGCTTTCCCTATCCTGTCCTTGATGACACTCCTTTTCATTGCACCAGGATTTTTGATCTGACTCACTATATGCCACTACACTTTGAATTTTCAACAGTGAGAAGTTTGAGTATTTAATTTTTGTATCTCCAATGCCCATCCATCTAGAATCTAACTGTCTTCACGTTTGAATGCTGGGTTCAAGATTCAAATAGACTGAGTAAATGATTCTTTATGCTCAGAGAATTTAAGCTCAAGCAGAAGAATCAATGGTACAGTCAAACAATGCAGAGTTCAGGAGTAATGATTATGTAAATTATTACCTAACTTGGAAGGGACAGGAGAGCATTATGCTGAGTGAACTAACTCAGTCCCACAAGGACAAATATTGTATAAAACCATTATTGTAGAATAAGTGTAAGGATCCAAGGGGGGTAGGGGAGAGTGGAAGCAGAGGTTACAAGGATGTGCAGAGAGAGTGAGGATTAATCATGGAGTTGATAAGTGGGAGGTGAGGGAAATTGGAAGAATCTGTTCTTGAAAGCAATGCATTCAAATTTTGTAAATAAACTAGTATTTTAAAAAAAGAAGAGGAATCTCATCAGGATGATGAAATAAAAATGAAGTGGTATCTTTTCTTACCTTGATTAGCAGACTGGACACACGTTTAATTTCGCCATTTGCCTTTAGTAGTTCTTGTTTGAGTTCGGTGCAAGATATTTCCAGTTGCTCTTTCTCAGAATGAGCTACTTTCAACATTTCTTGTACTTCACAGCCCCCTGCCATTTCCCCTGGTGTCTCCTTCACTCTCTGTTTCTCACTCTCTAGTTGAGCCTTTAAAGTTCCATTTTCAATCTTCAGCCCTTCCAAGGTAACCTGGCATTCTTCCAAGCTTTTGGCCATCACACTGTTATTACGTCGTTCCAGTTCTAGAAACCCATTCAGTTTATCATTTTCTTCCTTCAGGTGTTTAATCATTTCTAAGGCTCCTTGGTTTTCTTCCTCAACCTTCCGCAGGCTGCAGGTCAACTGCTGCTGAATGATGAGCAGCTTCTCTCTTTCAAAGCGGCCCTGGTCAAGGATGTCTGCACATTTCTGTTCTAGTTCGAGGATTTTTCCTTCTTGGACATTGGGTTCTTCGTTCTTTGCTCGCTCTTGTAAAAGGTTTATCAGCTTCTCATTTTCTTGACTTAACTGCTCTGCCCTCTCTCGATGCTGATGGAAAGATGTCTCCAAAATAGTCTTCTCATCTGCTAGTTTCTCATTTTCAGCTGTCAATTCCTGCACCATTTGTTGCTGGTCTGACAATTCTTGCAAAGTAGCCTGTAGCTCTTCTGCTGTGCTGTGGTGATTCTCTTCCATCTTTTGTATCTTCTTAGTAAGGGAAGCCAGAGACAATTCCCTAATGCTGTTAGACGAGCTCCCACCAGTGGAACATTCTGGGCTCTTAAAGGGGTTGCTATCGGAAGAAATCGGTCTCGAGGGACTATCTGCTGTTATGTGCTCAAAATCAGAGGCATCTGGTGACAAGGAAGCTTTGGTAACATCGCTGCTTGAAGAATCTGATGTCCTAAGTGCACTTTCTTGTACCTTTTTTTGATACTCCTCTATTTCACCTGACAACTGGTTCTGGCTTCTGAAGCTTAGCTCTTGAGTTACAGATGTTGGGCAGCTGCTGTCAGCAGTGTGACTTGCTGTTTCGTCTGAGCTTGGTGAACACTCAAGGTAACTGAGTTTTTCCTTCAAGGACCGGTTTTCTTCCTCTAGATCAGCAAGTTCTTTCTGAAAATTCTTGTTCTTCTCCTCTAGAGCTTTGATCAAAGGCTCCGTGTCACCTGATGGGATGGGTCCATTTACACTTGGGTCCAAAGCCCCAGGTCCGTCAGTGTTCAAAGCTCTCTTTTCTTTGCATTTCTTTAGCTCGCTTCGAAGCCTATTAATTTCGCTGTCCTTTGCTTTGGCTTCGGCCAGAAGTTCCCTAATGTGAGACTCAAGCACCGCTTTCTCTGCACCCTCATTCTCTTGTTTGGCTTTTGCTGAGATGGTCCTCGGCTGTTTCGTTGGGGTAGGCGTGCTGGAAGAAGTTGGACTGGATACTGATTTTCTGGGGTTGGATGGGCCACGTGGCACAGATCTCTCTCTTGGGATGGCTACTGAAAGTTCCCGTGGAGCTGGGATGCCTGTCCGTTTGGTTGTGGCAGCTGTCCCTAAAGAAAAAAGAAGAAATAGGTGCATGGAGAAAAAAATCTGAATACCTGGATGCCAAAAAACAAATAATTTCCTTCTACCACTGAGGCTGTTGTGCTTCATTCATTTCCTCCCCCCATTAGATACCCATCTAGTTCCAATGGCACATAACAACAACAGTTCTAGTGGGATTTCTGTTCCTCTGTCCCCTACACTTTGAAGGAAATAAATTCTGCCTCATGCTAAGCATGAAGCCTGGATGAAGACCTGATCTCATAAGCATAGCATCATCCTCCAGCTACAATCGCTGACCCAGAACAGGGGTGCAATAAAAGCAATGAAACACAAAGAAAGGTTTTCAGAGAGAGCCTCTAAAGTGCCACTGGGCATGAGAGAGCATGGACGTCAGCCTGTAAATGCTTGAAACCACCTCGCCATCACAAGACTACAGAGAGAATGCAGAAGGCAGTGTAGAGACCAAAACCAAGGTGTTTTGTTGTGTTTTTTTTTTTTTAAAAAAAACCTTTTTCTTTTTAATGTTATTTAAGTGAAAATTTATAATTCATACTGCAAAATCAAATTCTTAACAATTCTGTTGAAATCCTTAAATCAACACAACTCTGTGACTGTCTTCCAGTTACACATACTAATAAATAACCTTGATCTAAGTTGTCATCAATCAATTTCTGTAACTTGCAACTTAACACACATGAAAATATAAACTTAACAACTAAGCAACAGCTTTTTGACAAAATTTCATTGTAAATATTAAACAACATTTTAAAAAAATTTGTCATTATTAAGATATTTGATGAGAAGTATTTTACTAAGAAACCAAAAGATTAAAAAAATTAAAAAGGAGAGGTGTGTGGAATGACATCGACCTTTAACATAGGTGGAGATGGCATACTTACTTGTACTAGGAGAGATAGAAGAATAAGTGGTATATGGGAAAGGGATGCTGACGTAAAAAAAGATGAATAGAAGATATCAAAGTATAGCTCAGAAAGACAAAGCAAAGTATTTTAATGGAACGTGAAAATGTGGAGCTGGAGAATAAAAAAAGGAAGAATTGTTTGGGTATTTATCAAGCTGAAAGAAATAAAAAATAAAGCCTTAAGTTGCAATACTGATATAGCATCTCTCAGGAAAATCGGGGAGAAATCTTTTTCAGAGGGAAATCCTGAATAACTCAGGAAGCAACAAGAAAGTGGAGGGAATACAAAAAAATCACTGTGAAAAAAAAGAACTGGTTGACACTGAAATGTTCCTGGAAGTATCACATGACAAAGAGTCAGTGGAGAATAAAGAAGATAAAGCTGCACTGCAGGCATTGGCAAAACATAAGGCCGCAGGAATTGATGAGGTATCAACTGATATGTTCAAAATAAGAGATGACTTCCAGGACTGTGCCAAGAAATTTGGAAGATAGCCAGCTACCTAGCCAACTGACTGGAAGACATCAATATCTGTTTGCATTCCCAAGGAAGAGGATCAAACAGAATGTAGAAATTATTGAACAATATCATGTATACCATACGCAAGAAAAATATTGGTGAGGATCATCTAAAACTGCAAGAACAGTACACTGACGCAGAAACACTGGAAATTCAAGCTGGGTTTAGAAGAGGCCCATAGCATCAGAGATATCATTGCTAATGTCAGAGGAATTTTGGCTGAAAGCAAAGCATATCAGAAGAATGGCTATTTGTTTTCTTGACTATGTAAAGGCATTTGACTTTGTGTATCATAACAAATTATGACTAATCTTGCAAAGAATGGGAATTCTAGAATACTTAATTATACTTACATGAAATCAATACCTAAACCAAGAAGCTGTTGTCTGAAAAATCAAGGCAATAGTTAGTGCATGATTTAAAATCAGGAAAGGTATGCATCAGGGCTGTATCCTCTCTCCACACCTATTCAGTCTGTATGCTGAGCAAATCATTACTAGAGAAGCTGGACTTTATGAAGGAAAGTGTAGCATCAAGACTGGAGGAAAATTCATCAAGAACCTGCATTATGCAGATGACACAGTCTTGCTTGCTCAAAGTAAGAAGGACCTGAGACATTTGCTGCAAAGGATCAAGGACTGAAGACTTCAATATGGATTACATTTTAACAACAACAAAAACAATCTCCATCACTGGGTTAATAGGTAACAGCCCTTGGCACCAGTAGTCAGGAGATTGGGAGACATATGGCATTGAGAAAGTCTGCTGTCAGGGACCTCTCCAAAGTTTTGGAGTGCCACGTTGTCAATCTAAAGCCATAATCTTTTTTATTATTTTTTATTTTAATGAAAGTTTACAGAGACTTTGGATTTCCATTCATTCATTGTTGCACACTTTCCTCCCTGCCCATTGTTCCTCTCCGTTCACTTTTCTCTTTGAAAAGTTAAAAAAAAAATCTTTCATTGTTATACAAAAAATCCCCTCCAATCCACTCCACTTCACTATGCAGCTTTCATTCTGGATTCTTGTCATGACAATAATAGCTAATCATATATTCCTCCTAAACAGTTCTCTCCCTCTTCTGTTTCAATGCAGTATACATTACTTATTCCTTCTTAGTTTCCCCCAACCCCGATGACAGTCCTGTTTTACAACAGTGGCACTAAGCAGTATTTGTCCTTTTGTGACTGAGATATTTCACTCAGCATAGTTCCTTTTAAATTAAGGAGCTGTTAGGTTAGCTTGCACTGACTGAACAGCATACAACAACAGCAAGGGCAATAAATGTTCAGACAATTTAAACAAGAAGCTTAACTATATTCAAAACCAAACCTTTGGTCCAGTCTACTCTTTTCACTAAAGGGGGTATTAGTGCTTGTCTCTGCCTTCTGCATGGTGGCAAAATGGCTGGTAGGCATGACTTTGAGCAATCATCTCTACCTCTGAGCTTCAGTTTCTCTCTTTACCATCAATGGACTTGTTATTGCTGTGTGCCTAATCCCCTGCTATGCGTCTGAGAGCTGAACAGGGAGAAGATGTCAGGATAAGAACTGATGTGTTTGAGTTATGTTCCTGGATAAGAATACTGAATATCCCATGGACTGCCAAAAAACAAACAGAAATGTCTTGGAGAAAGTGAAACCAGAGTGTTCCTTGGAGGCAAAGCTTTGAGGTGAGCTTGGAGGTAAAGTTGGTCTCACATATTTTAAATATGTTGTTAAGGAAAGATATTCTTTGGAAAAGGACATTATGCTTAGTAAATGGAGGGTCAGCAAAGGAGAGGAAGACCCTCAACAAGATGGACTGACACAGTTATCTGCAGCAATGGACTCAAACGTGTTGAGGATGTTAAGGATGGCGCAGGACAGGACAGGTTCAAATTTTTTGTTCATAAGGTCACTGAGTTGTACCTGACTCTAAAGCACTTAACAACAAAAGCAATGTATATTTGTGGTATATTTTTCAATAGTAAAGGGATTTATATTATATGGAGACAACAAATTACAATAGTAATTTGGAATGGTAATAATGGGAGTTGCTAAGAAATCAATGCTTTCTTTTATGTACACTACATCCTTCTCTGTAAGTTTATCTTGGTTAGAGCCTTAAGGGAAGGAGACTACCAGGTTCTTCATTTACAAAATTGTTTATTTATTATTCTTTTGGCAGTCCACGGGAAGGCGAACAAATAAGGATCTCTTCCAGTCTGCTGGTCAGAACTGCCAACCTTTCAGCTAACAGTTCAACACTTAACCATCATGCTACCAGGGCTCCCCACTTATGGGCAACATCAGGAAGAATGTGAATTCCAAAATAATTAATTATGCTTATGTGAAACCTGTATCTACACCAAGAAGCAACTGTCTGAAAAGAACATGGGAATAAGCTATGGATTAAAATTAGGAAAGGTGTGTGGCAGGGTTGTATTTTTTTCTCCATACCTATTCAGTCTGTATGCTGAACAAATAATTTGAGAAGTCAGACTATTTGAAGAAGAAAGTGGCATCAGAATTGGAAGAAGATTCATCAACAACCTGTGTTATGGAGATGACATACCTTGCATGTAAAGAAGTGAAGACATGTAACAAAGACTATAGCTGTAAATATGTATTACGTCTCATTATCAAGAAAACAAAACTCATCACTGGGTCAACAGGCAACATCACGATAGATGGAGAAAAGATTGACGTTAACAATTTCATTTTACCTGTATCCACAATCAACTTATGGCAGCAACAGTAAAAAAAATCAAAAGATGGGCTGCACTGGGCAACGTGCTAACGAGCAAGGATGTCAGTTTAAAGATTGCACCTCATAAAAGCCATGGTCTTTTTCAATTGCTTTGTATGCATCTGACAGTTGGACAATGAATAAGAAAGAAGAATTGATGCCTTTAAATTTTGATGTTGTCAGAGTCCTGAATATGCTGTGGAATGCCAAAAGAACAAAGAAGTCTGTCTTGGAGGAAGTATGACCAGGGTGTTTATGAGACAACGTTTCACCAAGCTTGTCTCTAAGAAGTACTTCCTCCAGAACAGATCTGTCTATTTTTTCTGGCATTCATGATATATTTAATACTCTTCTCCAACACCACAATTCAAAGGATTTCTTTATTTATTGTCCAGCTTTAAGATGTACAGGAAACAACCAAAAATTGCTTAGATCAGGCCCACCTTCGTGTTTAAATGGTCCTTGGCAGATTTTCCCAATGCAATACAGCTTTGGATTTCTTGACTGCTGTTACCTTGGGTGTTGGTTGTGGATTCAAGTAAAATGAAATTGTTGACAACTTTAATCTTTTTCCCATCTACCATGATGTTTCACATTCTGTTGGCTAACCATTTGTGGGAATGAAAACAAATAAAGATCTCTTCTAGTCAGTTGGTCAGGTAAATATCTTACAAATTTTTTGGCATAGTCTAGTGAGCATGTCCAGATCTGCATCTGCTTGTTGAAATATGTCATAGTCTATCAATTATTGGGGCCTTTTCTTTTTTTGCCAATGCCTTCAGTGCCGCTTTCACTTTGTTCATTACCACTGGGTCAGTCATATGCTATGTCTT